TGTCTTATTACTATGTTATATTATAAAACATGTACTGATAAAGTAAACTGGTTCGATTTTAACACATCAGTCAGTTATCAAACCCCAAAGATTTGAAAGTAAATTCCTGGCCTGATTATATCTGCGGAGTTTTCGGACACTCACGCGGGTGATTTATCAATTTACGACTCTCCGTCGAATGTTTTTGTTCACACAGCCGTTTTCATTCGGTTTTGATAAAACATATTAAAGACAATATCTAAGACAAAAAATATATTGGTTGATTTCGATAATGTGATCATAATGGAAACTGCATCTGGTTTTACTACATTCGGATGAAAATTAATAAGTGTACGTCAGACGTATGCGACTATAGGTTTTGTAAGTTGACAATTGCTAAGATTGTTTGAGGCTTTTGGATACGAAACATTATACACTTTTCATCGAATATTGAGGAAACCTGGTATTCTTTTACATTTCAATAATGGGTCTATCTTTGACAGAGTTTAACATTATCAGGAGACATGTTAAAATCTAGATCAAAATCAGGCGTCCTTGGAAATAATTATTGCTTTCTACCCACTGCAATAAACAACTTTGACCTATTCAAATTGGAATAAATTTGAATTTTGAAAATCAAGATCTACTTCCTCTATTGATATGGAAAAATCAAATTTGATTTCACTAAAACGTGATTAAGTGACAATCTTTGCCCTTTTCGGATTGGTATTTCCTTCGACAATTATGTATACATGTCAATATCAACATCAATATTACCATGTAGGCATATAGCTGTAGTCGACAATTTTAGAAAACGGAAGGTCTCAAAAAATGTCTTCTACTTATGCCCTATATGTGTATTCCTGAGTTTTCTAGAATTCTATATGTGATTTTGAATGTAATATGTTTTTGTACGTAAGTTTGTTTGCAATTAATGTACAATATTTCTAGTAGTAATTAACTGATTACAAAGTATTTATATTTTTTCTACATTATTTCGCAATCTTTCATCAATTTGTAGTTCTTTCAAAACCAAACCTGCAGAAATATATCATTTACAAGGGATGAATGTAATACTATAAAAGATATTTTGTATAGATTGGTTGTCTGGATTGAATAAAAAATAAGTCGATTACGTGAGTAGTCTGATTAATTCGTGATGATATTGAAATATTTGATATAATATTTAGAGAACTCTTAAAGTTTGGTGCAAGCCATACCAAACACAATGCAGTTATTATGTACGATAAGACACCAGTTTAAAGAAGCTGTCCTGTCACATAGAGAAGAGAAGATAGCTTGCCAGGCAAGGTAACAATACGCCCACCACCAGCTGTGAGAAATGATAACAAAGTCTGAAGGGCTTAATAATGAATTTTCAAATAATCTTAAAAATATTTATAAGTCAAGGCAAAACCTCAAAAACAGTTCAATTAATTATCATCAAATTAAATCATGAACAAGGTCTCATCGACGTACACACAACAGTAATAACTCTGAAACTGTTCATGAGCTTACCAATTTCGAACTTGACAGAGATCTCATCAGTATCTACATGCATACCAAGTTTCATCAAGAAAGTCAAAGGCAATAACTGCGAAACCGTTCATCCGATTGTTACTAATTTCAAGCTTTACTGAGATCTCATTAATATATACATGCATACCATCGTTCCATCGAGATCGGATAAAAACTGCACCCTCTATCGTGCCCACAAGCCAAATTTCTACTAAATCAATGGCAATAACTCCGAAACCCGTTCATCCGATTATTACCAAATTCCAAATTGGCCGAGATCTTCTCATTATTTTCATCCATACCAAGTTTCATCAAGATCGGATAAAAACTGTATTCTAATGTATATTGCGCCTACAAGCCAAATTTGACATGTTTTTACTAAGTCAAGGGCAATAACTCTTAAATCGTTCATCCAATTTCTACCAATTTCGAACTTGACCGAAATCTTATCAATATATACATGTATACTAAGTTTCATCAGGATCAGATAAAAGCAGTATAAATGGACGGAGCGACGACAATATACGACCACATTATAATGTGGCCGTATAAAAAAATGTGGTTGGACAGTTAAAATGAAAATGAATAGAATCTTACTTCATTATTATCTGCACCTAATTGGGCTAATGAAGACAGGTAAAGTCATGCAGTGTGCAGTGAGGGAAATTAGGCCTCAACAGCAGTATGTATTAGCCTTACTGTGACCTGTGACCAGAGAATAGGACAGTCCCTTTAATTAAGATACATGCATGTATACCCTCTGTTATGTTTTGACAAATTTCGGAAACGAAACACTGGACACACACACGATTATAAGAGCCCCACCCCCTCTTTTTATAGTTTTTTTAAACAAAAATGTCAAAAAGTCGTTAGCGAGTAGTTTTAATAGGGAATGAATTATAATCAGTGTAGCTCAAGAAAATGTTAATCCTCAAACTAAATCTTTTGTTTCACAGTCTACTAGTGAGCTGAAATCAGGGTTTAAAATTTAAAACAAACTGCATGGTTCAACGAGAGTAATAGTCATTTTTCAAGCGGAGGTCCAAGGTAACAGGACCTCTTGAATTGCTTGCTCTGGGCGAGGCTTCTGTTTCGAATAAGGTGTGTTAATCTTGTATTTCAACTCTTGTCGTTTGTTTTTATGTTGATCTTTACATTGAGAATACTTCCTCACATAAATAGCTCATTTGCTGTGACAAAAATATTGCAGAACTGTTTTGGGGGGGTTTCCAGTTTAGTTTTATGGTCCGGATCGTTGGTACTAGTGTTGCTTTTTTGTATTTACGACAAAAGTAATCGTAAGATTAATGTGCCGTTCATCAATTGCCTGTCATGAGCACTATGGTAGGAACTCTGCATTCTATCGACAAATTTCCATATTCAGATTGTTCTTATTTGTTTTTCTATACATTTTAGATTGGCCTGATTAACGGTTCATGTGAATACCGGTTTTATATGCTCAAATTTTAGGTTTTATTGCCATTGACACAATATAAGTCAGTTTAAATTTTCTGGAGGAGAGTCCAGTTTTTACATGGTAAGTTTTAATGTTTTCGGGTTCTGTAGAGGGGTAAAGACGTCATTTGCTTGAATAAGTCGAATAAATTATGGGTTCTTATATTTGTCGGCGAATACAAGAGTAAGGACAATCGGTAAACAATCAAATAGCTTCATTCCGTGATACAAGAATGGTGACTCTAGTCAAGGTATAATACGCTTTGTAACAGCTTGGCATTGTGAATGTGCGTAATGAGATGAACATTACCAAATAATTTAATTTAAATGAAACAGTTCTAAGTGGACAGGGTCTTCAAGACTCGAGAGCATTCATTGTTTCTAAAAGAATGTGTTCTCTTTTAGATTTTGTATAGTCTAGATTCAAAATCAAATTGTTGAAGCTATTGAACCTTTTAAGAGAAGATTGAAACTGGAGAATTCAAACTGACTTCACTGTCAGGTATTCTTGATGCTAAACTGAAAGACACATCAGTTGTCAAAAGGTATGTTATTTTCCCCAATGGTTTACCATTGAAAATATTTTAAGACCTTTGCTGTAAATGTATTGTATTTTCCATGTTCCTTTACGATGATTATTAACAGCTAGATGTGAAAAAGACGTATGTGCATTGTTTCATTATGGGTATAGAAAAGTGGGACGTAAAAAGCCGTTTTCTGAGTATGATTATCAATGTACTTATTTCCGACCAATCATTTACAATAAATAATCATTCATTTCAGAAAGAAAGAAGAGTACATATTTTACAAGGATAACACCCTTCTTCCAGCTGGTCTTTGACCAAACCTCTTGGAATTGATCGGATTAACTGTACTAATATACAGCTGGGTCGACTGGAATTATGAGTGAAGATGGCGTATCCATGACCACTTAAAGCATCAAGACAAACAAGGTAGGTGGTTGCTGAGTTGGAGGTTGACAGGAAGAGGTCGAATATATCCTGGTTCCTGGTTCAATTTTAAATCAGGGTACATATTTAAAATTGCAGTGCATGCATATTGAAAGGACGCTTATGTGTTCTAATTCTGGACTTAATAGCAAAAGAGACTTTGGACATTTTAAATAATACGATTTCAAATCGGCCATTCTCGTTCATGCCTCGATGGGCTCAGAAAGGTGTCACGCACATGCATGTACATACGTGTCTGAAACTTTACATTATCTATGTTAAATATCCGCATTGTAGCAAAACACATCATAGATGCCCAGGCTTACATAGGAGTAACATCACTTACTGAGTAATTGAACTGGCCAGGCTGTGTCCATAGTACGCAGAGACAAACTTTAGTTGTTTCCATGTAGTTTAAGGCTGGTCGGCAGGATATCGGTCAGACCCTTGGCAAGGACACCTTGGGTCCTTGTGCCACGCGGAGAAAGGCATCTGTGAACGTTGCACCTCTGTTACTACCTCCTTGTTACCACCTCATTAGCAGTGAATGGGTCGAATCACGGATGCCATGATTGACCTCATCCTCCCTATTACAGTTCTATGCTCTTACTTACTTACAATTCTTACTACTGGTTCTTCAAGATGATTTTAAACTAGCTACGTATAGACTCATTCAACCGTTGCATGTATTGAGTAAGGCATTACATGATAATGAAATGTTATGCAATGACATTTCTTGATATGCTATAAAAACTATGTAAGAGATAAAGGCCGAAAACTGTACTTTCTTTCAACAGAAGAAACAACTGAGGAGTGTTAACCCCGAAGTTGTTTTTTAACCCCGAAGTTGTTTTTTCTGTTGACAAAAAGTAGTTTTCGGCCTTTATCTGTCTTAAAACAAAGTATCTGTGAGTAAATTTTGTTTGTGAGAAAGACTCAATGTAAATCACTTTAAGAATGTAATCTTTTTGAACATTAAATGAGCATGCACACAGCTCACTACTGAATGTTGTTTTAAGACAGTTGTTACTTTAAGAATGTACACTTTTAAACATTCATGCATTCATTCATTGAATAGTTGATGCTTCAAGTGTCAAGATGTCAGGTTCTAGTGATGATGATATATTTATTACCCAAACAAAGACTTGTGAAATAGATGATTATAATTTAGAAACGGATACTGTTCTTAGTGATGCTCTGAATTTGGAGGAAAATTATGTAAAAGAAGCCATACAGTTACCAAACTTTGATTTGAAGTACTCTGATATAAGCGATGTTGAAACACCAAATTTGCCAGAAAATGCCAAGACTTCACTGAGGTTTTCCAAGCCCCTGGACGATTCTGATCTAAAGAATTTGGTTAAAAGTGGTCTTGGTATTAAAACTGAAAATAAAACTAGATGGGCAGTTAATTTGTTTAGTATGTGGAAGAAACACAGAAACAATAATAACTCTGAAGAAAAAGATTTATTTAATCTTTCCAGTCAAGAATTGAATGAGGCACTTTCCTTTTTTTATAGCTGAAGTGTGTAAGGAATCTGGTGATAATTATAACCAAATACTTTGTATGTGATTATTATATCTATACAGCACTACCTTCGTCAGAATGGACGTTTAATAGCCTTTATGGATGATCAAGAATATCAGGGTTTAAGAAGTGTTCTGAACAGTAAAATGAAGGAGTTGTCGAGACTTGGACTGGGTATTAATACCAAGAAGTCAGAAGTTATTACAATAGAACAAGAAGAGATTTTATGGAGTAAAGGCTTGTTAGGTGAAAGTAACCCACAGCAGTTATTGGATACTCTTCTTTTCTTGTTTAGATTACATTTTGCACTGCGAGCTGCTCAAGAACACAGGAATTTAAGGTTTGGTATGAACACTCAATTGTCTGTTAAGTATGACTTAGAAGGTAAAAAATATCTGCAGTACATAGAAGATGTTTCAAAGACAAACCAAGGTGGTTTAGATCACAGGAAAGTCAGTCCTAAAATGACAAGAGCTTATGAAAATTCTAACCCATTAAGATGTCCAGTTAGATTATATGAAAAGTATATAGCTCTGCGTCCAAAAAACGGTACAGTAAATGCATTTTATCTGCGTCCCAAGAAGATGCCATGCTCTGATGTTTGGTACTGTGATTCTCCTGTAGGAATTCATACCATACAGTCCACTGTCAAACGTTTATGTCAGTCGGCTGGTATAATTGGAAACTTTAGTAATCATTCCCTTCGTGCCACAGCTGCAACTCGTTTATATCAAGCTGGAGTGGACGAGCAATTGATCACTGAAAAGACTGGACACCGATCTAATGCTGTACTAGCATATAAAAGAACAAGTGATGCCCAGCAAGCCTCTGTGAGTTCCGTATTGCATAGTGGTTCCAAAAATCATAAATTGGAAGAATTGGTGGATACAAGCCCAACTAAATTTAAGCAAGAACGTTGCGTTAATGAGGAAACCAGTGACAAAGAACATAAGGAACTCAGAGAGTTCAAACTTTCAATGCCAGGAATGAATTTGTCCATGAAATTTTGATTCATTTGACTGTAGTATTGCTTCAAAAATTGCAATAATATGTTTGTTCTAGTTATCTGAAAATCTGTTCTTTCTTAAGTTTAATAATGTACTATTTTTTCCAAAAACTGTACATTCTTAGGTCAAAGAAAGTACAGTTTTTGGAAGTTGTGAGTAGGTGTTCACAAAAACAGTACATTCTTTGAAATAATGGCCTAAAACAACAAAGGACTATTGTTTAACTATGTTTTTAATTAGAAGATATTGGGATTTTAATAATTTTACTTGATTTTAAAAATAATTATTCTTAAATTTTAAAGATACATTGAACTACATAACTATTGTTACTATTGATGGAGATTGCCAACAACCCATGCACCTTCTCATATTCGTATCTCTTTCGAGTTGGGTTCATTTTAGGTTGTAATGTTAGTTCTAATATTATTCTATAGGTCGCTGGCCAGCAAGTAATTTCAGTCATTTTCTTCGTACGGATTTCAACGAAACTTAGAACGGTCATGTGAGGGATAACGTTAGGTAGGTTAGAGATGCGAATGTGGCAATGTGCATGGTTAGCGCTTTTGGCAACGGAATTGGCTGCCTTTTAATGGATAGTAAGAGATATCGATTGTGTTTGATGGTTGCAAATGCCAACATATGGTTATATGATGATTGCAAATTCCAATATATGATAAATGCCAATATGAGAGATAGTAAATGCCAATATAGGGTGACTGTAATTGCCAATATATTGTGATATGATGATTGCAAATGCAAATAAGAGAGATAGTAAATGCCAATGTATGGTGTACATATATGATGGAAGTAAATGCCAATATAAGGCGATAGTAAATGACAATATGTGGTGATAGTAAATGCCAATATGGTAATGCTAAAATGTATATGGTTGCTGTCAAGGTATGGTGAAAACCACAAAGTGTATTGTAACGTGCAACGCAGAAAAACTGTAAGCGTAGCTAGTTTTAATCATCTTGAAGGACCAGTGCTTAGAATTGTCTGTAAGAGGGGATGAGGTCCATCATGTCATTAGTACAAAGTCTTCTGGTTACAGCTAGTGTTTTCATCCATGATTCTATCCACTCACTGCTGATGACGTCACTGCGAGAAAGTGGTAACGGAGAGGCAACGTTGGCAGACACCGCTCTTCGTTTGGTGCAACGACATATACGGTTTCTCTGTGATGGGCTGGACGGTGTCTTTCCAATCAGTCCACGTGGGTCAGCTAAAGTTTCTATTTGCGCGGTCAACCTTGTCATTTCATGATACTCCACGTTGCTAGGGTGCCAGTCTTGACATCTGTGTTTTGTTGCAATTAGTTTGGCATTGCTGCTGTGAAGTTCCCAAACACATGTGTGTGTATATGAGTGTGGTACATTTCTGTGATATTCAAGGCCTGAACAAGAGCGACCGATTTGGAATCGCACTATTCCGAATTGAAAATGAAATGAAATGAATGGAGTTTTACGTTCTACTTTTCTTCACCATGTATTCCGAAGGCCTCTCGTGCTGTTTAGTCCAGCACAAGGACATGTGTTTTTTTTTATTATTGGAATTGGGAAAAAGGTTTTTCTTGTTTGAAATTGAGACCCAGAATTTCAGGATGTCTACGGATAAATCAACGAAGATGATACAGTGCTGACTCAAACTGGCTGGATTTTGCTACTAATTTTTTCTGTAAGGTGATGTGGCAATGGATATTCTATACGTAGAATACTATTGATACAGAGTCGCTTCGATTGTCATCGTGGCTAATGGTTACATTCATATATTTGAGATTCATTGCTGCAACTTTTTGCAAAAGATTCTATTGAATTTGAGAATTTTACACTTTCCTTTTTTCTCTTTTCCTTTTTTTTCTTTGCACGTGGTGTTAGCCAAGTACTAATATTAACTAAACCCATTTAACGATAACACAAAATTCTCAAATTTACTAGTTTTTTTGTTCTATTTCAAATTATTCGTTGATCGTTTCGCCTGGTTTGGATGTTGATCCATCCATTTTAATTGGATTCTTGGATTTTCTCTCGCAAGAGCTACAGCGGCATATTGTTATTTGATACAAACCCTAGACGAAGCCACCTCCCCCCACCCTACATTTTTGTCATTGTTGAACACCCGCCCCCACCCAACGACCGTTTCAGTTATTAATCATTACCATTTTTTACGGTAGGCCTATGTACTAATCAATGTGGTTTATTGAAGGCTGGTACATGTATCTAATTGAAATTTCCTATTTACAATTAGGTTCAAGAAAGCATTATGTTTAGTTCTTATTTGAATGGAAGAGTTAAAGTGTACTGGCATTCGAAAACACTGGCCGTAAGGTAAAGTGAACCAAGTGCAAGTTGTCATTCAAGCATATTGCAATCAAGGTTACCTACCGAGCTTTACTACCATCCTTTGTCCCAATGTTTTATCTAATGTTATTTTTTCCCTGGTTGTCCATCACTATCACAAAGTTGTGTTCTGGTTCTGTTTATATTTTAGGTTGTTATGTTAGATAGAAATAGACACGGCAGGCAACTAAGACAATTGGTCAATGTTAAACTACGAGGACAATGGTCCCAGCCAGCACCGTAGTCAAGAGTTGATTGTCCGGAGCAGTCATCATGGAGTGTGGTGTTTAGTTACAGTTATGATACTGGTCGACCGGCACAATTTTTTTTTTGCAAGAGCAATCTATTTTTTTCGGAGGTATCCCCCCCCCCCCTCCTGCCTCTATATAGCTATGAACCTGGTCCCAGTAAATGAAATGGTAAACCTATTTTTATAAAGTTAAAAAATACATGGCTAGTATGTTCATAGACGCAGCTTTCACTATTCAAAATTTTAGTCAACGTTTCGTCCCAGGCACATAACGATCAAAGGTGATCCATAAAGTCGTGTCAAAAAAACATTAGTTCAAAATACATGGTACTTGATCTTGTCCATCTCATCATAAGCCTATATATGAATGCATGTAACGAACAAGAACATGAAAAGTGGATGAGTTTCATCTATTCTGAATCCAAGTTCATCAACATCATCTCAAACTGTTGAATCTGTAGGAAACTGAACGGGTAGCATTAGGACCTTACGCTCTCTCCCACTCTATCGGGTTAGGTTTGTGTTAAGTGTCGAGTTAGGTTTGTGATAGGTATCATGTTAGGTGTTATGTTTGATAATTCGTCTAGTGTAGCTGGTCAGCAACCTATTTCCTTTGGTTTATGTGTACGGATTTCATTGAAACTTGGTAGGGCCATGGTAGGGCAAACATTAGGGTTGATTAGGAGACGAGTGTGGGAGGACGTAAGGTTTTTCATAGATTCAACCTTCCGAGATGATTATTGACTGACTTGGACTGTTCTTATCCGTTCCGTGCACTCATGTAGGTTTTCAACCTGTTTTTGTATGTCCCCAATTCGTATCAGCATGAAAACTATGTTCAAGATGTGCCATACAGGCAGTCTGGTATTTAAAGCAAGTCTGAAGTCGAAAATAAGATGCTAATTAATTACATTTGTTGTTGTTATTTACATTGGTTACCAATTTACATTTATTATTATTATTTACATTGGTTATAAATATTTAAGTTGTTGTTATTTACATTGGTTATTAATTTAGATTTAATATTATTATTTACATTGGTTATTGATTTAGATTTAATATTATTATTTACATTGGATAATAATTTAAATTTATTGTTATTTACATTGGATAATAATTTAAATTTATTGTTATTTACATTGGATAATAATTTAAATTTATTGTTATTTACATTGGATAATAATTTAAATTTATTGTTATTTACATTGGATAATAATTTAAATTTATTGTTATTTACATTGGATAATAATTTAAATTTATCATTATAATTTACTTTGGTCATTAATTTAGATTTAATATTATTATTTACATTGGTTATTAATTTAGATTTAATTTTTATTATTTACATTGGATAATAATATAAATTTATTAATTATAATTTACATTTGTTATTATTTACATTATGTCACGTGAGGTTCTATATGTAGGTTCGTGTTGTTGGCCAACACATGTCAGGGTGGTATTTCCTGTTATATTAGTTTTTCTGCGAATTTTTGCTATACCTGCTATTGAGCGGATTGTTTACTCTTTTAAAATAAAAATAAAAAAAATCAGAGACGGGGCCGTTTTTCCCAAGAACAACTCATATGAGATATGTAATATTCTGTAAAAAACGACAGAGACGTCTGTAAATGACGAATGCCATGTTCCTGGCGCTACAAAAACGAATCATTATTGCAGACAGTTCCCCTTCATAGACTTCATAGTTTATTAAGAAACACAATCATCGTAATTTGATCGCGATAAGAATGTTTAACTCGCGATTTAGTTTTAGACAAAATTGTTGATTAGAATATAACTAAAAGATTGACTTAAACCAAACCTGGCCTTTAGTCTTTCAATAAAAACGCAATATTGAAAGCTGTCATGATACATTTACTTCTCAACGTTCTCAATTTGATTCTTTACATTTCGTTTCGTGATATTTACCGTTTCGAAGTCAATTTTTACAATAAACCGGAAATGGTTAGAGTCAACAGTAGGATGACGAAGCTTAATGTGACCATGCTGGCTTAATCTCCACTTCAATCAACTTGGGTTAAAAACGACACCATCTTTCAAGTCATCACAATTTCAAATCAATGTATTTATTAGGAGATAATGACTGAAACGTTCAATTAGATTCAAGGCCGGTAATCTACACCTAAATTCTAAAGAATTTCTATTAGCTCTATTTGCCGTCTGATTTCAACCGAGAACGAGGCTTAAATTCGTCTTTTCATGAACAGTTAGCTGCAGGTCGATCGCTTCCGGTTTTAGACCACTCACGGCGAAATTCGTGCACTCACTTCCGGTAGTTGAGAAAACGCTTCAAGTGAAATCTTGCTCGCGCCACGCCTCCGTCATTCGACCTTAAAACAACGAAAAGGGGGTCAAACATTACAATGATGTCCATTTTATCCTTGAAGCGAAAT